CACCTGAGGACAGAACAAGAGGCATTGGGTGGAAACTAATCAGGGAGAGAAGCAACTTATATCTGAGGAGAAATTTGCTGACAGTTAAAACAATTAATCAATGGGACGACTTGCCTCCAGAAGTTGTGATTGTCCCAACACTGGAAGTCTTTAAGAAGATGTTGGATAGCCATTTGTCTGAAACGGTATAGGATTTCCTGCCTAGGCAGGGGATTGGACTAGAAGACCTCCAAGGTCCCTTCCAACTCTGCTATTGTATTATATATACACATCAGAAAACTCCATGCACCATCAGAGAACTTGGGCCTCTTGATATCAGTGTAATTGAAATAAATCCACCATTCAGGTGTGAGCTGCTTTGGGAAGGAAGTGTTTCCTGGCCTTAATTAGCTAATTGTAAATCTGGCTGGAATTTACTGTCATAAATTTTCAAGATTTGTTTTTTTTACCCCAAACTGGCCAAAATCCATGTGGTTCTTGTTTCTTTGGTTTGTCAGCTTCGGGGAGCTTGGCAGGAGCAGAGTTGACATTCATTACAAAATTTAACACCAATTCTCATATATGAAACAAAGAAAAGGTTGCTTTGCGCAGGTTAACTAGCTTGTCAGTGCAAAGAATATCTGTCACATTGAACTGCTTTTCTCTGGGAAGGAAATTACCACTATTTTCCACCTCTCCTTTAATTATTTCCTTTCCCTTTCTCTGCTCCCTCCCCAATGGTCGCTGTGAGTGTGCTTCTATAAATAAATATGAATACCAGTAAATCCACTTTTTTCCCCAGACCTGCAACTAATCAAGTGAACTGTGTTCCCTAAAAGTTTATTTATTTGTCTCTAGGGTGCCATAAACCTCTTGCATGCAGAATGGAGCCAAAATCAAGGTTTATGCAAATTGCCAGTGTCAACTGAGGGGAAGAAGAAGAGTTTGAGAGGAGCTGTTGTGAAAAGCACCCAGGGGAGGGATGGGGGGGGGGGGAAATAGAGTGAAAGACCCTGCAGCTTCAGCAGTAACTCTTCCTCCCCCCCCCCCACTCCTCTTTAGGTCTGTGGGGCCCAGGGAGACACTCCCTGTGCCATCGATTCCTGTGGAGGGGCCGGTTGCTATGACGAAGATGGCAGACGTCACTGTGGAGGCCTCCACTGCAACGGGGCCGTGGCCACCGCTGACAACGCTCTGGACCGAGCCCGGCATGTCGAAGAGGAGCTGCACAACGCCGTCTCTGAAGTGGAAAGTCTGCTGCATCAGGTAGGGAGGGTTGCTTGGCTGACATTTGTGGAAGGCAAATCCGAGAACAATGCCCTGCCTTTCATATCCCATCAGATGATCCCAATGGGCTTCCTTTCATTTTGGGAAGCAGCATTAATTCTGGAGAGCTGCAGCAACTTCCCCATCATTGTGTATCTGCTGCCCCCTGCTGGTTGACCATGCCCTCAGATTTTGATTTTTGGGACAGGTCTCCAATGCGAAGGCCCGTGCAGCTGAAGCAAAGCAGAGGGCACAGGCAGCTTTGGATCACGCCAATGCCACCAAAGCTCGGATGGAGCACTCAAACAAGGAGCTGAGAGACCTTATCCAGCAAGTCAAAGAATTCCTTAATCGTAAGTATGAGAGCTGCGCCACCGTCTCCTCTTTTTGCTATGTTTTATTAAAAGTATATATTCTGCCCTCCATGAACAGGTGTCTTTCAAGACAAGTTGTGTAAAACATTCCAGGTATAGTCCAAAACGTTCAGTCAAATCTAATAAGTATAAAACAAAATGGAAGGACATAAATGTTCTGACCAAGGCTTCCCCAGCAACACAAAGCTGAGTCCTTGTCCCGATAAACCCCTTTTATTTAAGCAATAAAAGCAAAGTCTTTCCTCTCCCATAGTCTTTCAAGAGAGTTCACAATTACTGACCTTTATCGGGCTTGGAGACTGGCCAGGCCAATATATTTCAGACGTCGCAATACTTGGCAGGAACGCAGGAATGAACTAATTGTCTCCTGCAAAATAGCAATAGCAATAGCAGTAGACTTATATACCGCTTCATAGGGCTTTCAGCCCTCTCTAAGCGGTTTACAGAAAGTCAGCATATTGCCCCCAACAATCTGGGTCCTCATTTTACCCACCTCGGAAGGATGGAAGGCTGAGTCAACCCTGAGCCGGTGAGATTTGAACCTATATATATTACAACCCCCGGTATGCCCAAATATTATTTATCAGCACAAATACAACATACATACATACATACATACATACATACATACATACATACATACATACATACATATACACACATACACACACACACACACAATAAATGATAGATAGAGATAATATAGATGGATGGATGGATGGATGGATG